TGAATGTGGTTCTTGAACTCAGCAAAAGGCTGGCATAACCTCAGGTCCTCCAAGGCATTGTCTGGGTGGGATTCAATCACTAAAAAGAGAGGTGGTTAAATGTTAAAATACATTTAAAAATTACATATAAACTATGAGCCAGGGTAAATAACAGGCTAATGTAAATACCCATGACTACAGAGAGTAATTAATGGCATGTTATCTATCACAGTGCTGCATCTGCAATTTCATAGGTTGATTAACCACTCTGACCTGAAAGCATCACATATGTACAAATATAACACCAATTAAAAGTTGTTATTTGATGTATTTAAGTTTAATAACAAGAACAGTGGAATCAAAGTAAAATGCTGTTTACTAACCTGTATGCTCCTGCACCACTAGCCTCATGTAGCCAATCAGGCCGTAGGTTTTACAGACTAGAAAAGGTACTGAGGCACTCCACAGGACTGAGCCTAGCCTCAAACATGTGCTGTTGGATTTCAGAAGAAATTTGAAAAGTTGAAATGTTTTCACAAAAGAAGTAAACAATGTCTATACAATTAAAAAAGGTAAAAATCTCTTCGTCAGTTAGAATGAGGGAAAGTACTGCACTTGCAGCTTGTATATACAAATGCTCCTAAAGCATAAACAAGTTCCTTTATCAGATTTTTCAAGCCAAGCCTGGACAGAGTGTGAAATGCTCTGTCCAGGATGGTGTTCTGCACTATGTTTAGATATTTCTTTGAAATGATACAAAGAATTACACTTAAACATACTGTAGATAGCAATATAATTTCTCATTAACTCTTTTATTACAATAAAATGTGAGAGTAAGATGAACTGTATCTCATACCTTTCTGGCAACTGGACACCAATGACTATGGTAAACCTGTGGAAAAACTCAGGATCATTGTCCAGGAGCTTGTCTGGACTCTGCAGGTGTAACAGAATACAATATGCTCTGTTACTATTACAGTCATGATGCTGATCAATATATTTACACAGCATATCTTGTATTCATAGACCTACTTTTATGAAATACAAACTTAACATTTTTGACCCCTCTTGTAGTTCTACTAAATCAGCGCTAAATCTTATGTCCACTGGTTTAATGTGTGTTAATGTGATGTAAATGGTGTTACTGTTATGATAATATCAAAGATTTGTGTGTTCAGTTCCCTCTAAAACATTGTGAAAACATCTGCGGCACTATGTTAAAACTTAAACAACACAAACCTCCTCGACAAAGTTTCCAGAGACATCACTGTTAAGTTCTTGTAGCAGCTCAGTGGCAGCCTGTGCTCTGTTCTGTAGCATAAAAAATAAGGTCAGAGGTCATACAAATATGCAAACACACTGCATTTGTTTCAAATAAGAATTTACAAATGACTTCATGAATAACTAGATGCAGACGCAGGGTAGAATAGGAAATAGAATAGAGGCCCACATCTCTGATAAGCCCTCTGGAGGTGTTGTGGGCCTATCATTGAAAAACCAGTGAAGAAGGGTACCCATCTGATGACCCTATAGCTTTTCCCCTCCTAAACCCCCATCCTCTTCCCCAGCATGGCTCCAACTGTCACTCACAATCGCAAGTATGTGCAACATAAATTGACCAGTTAATCTCCGCCTCAATTTAAGTCGATTAAAAGGAGTTGGGGAGGTAGAGTGTACAGCCCGGTCTGGCAGGGGAGAGTTCAGTCCACACAGATGTCTCTCCTTGGCTCTGCATTCCCTATCAATCTACCTATGCTCTTTCCAACTTTTTTTTATCCGTCCAACCATCACCCTTCGGCTCCCAATCAGAAACCCCCAGGCGGCACTACCACTCCCAGACAGTCTTAAGAATGTGCATCAAGGGATTGTAACATCTAGTCCTAAAATGAATACAGATTGTGTGTCCATACAATATAAATTCATTGGTTTTGGCAAAGCATACCTTTCCAATGCTGTTGTTGCTGAGAAAAAAGCTGCAAGACAAGATCAAGAGGTCAGCCATGAACACACAAGTCAAACTAATACACAGCAATTCAAGCTTAGAGCACAAGACTGCTGTCTTACTTGTTTCCTACATCTTCCCCTGAAACTGTGTGTCCGTCAACAATGGTGAATGCTCCAATACCTGACAAAAAAGACAACAAAGAAATCACTCAGAAAGACGCATTCATCAGCAGCTGCAGCATCATCACAGACACGTCTGTTTACCTGGAAGTACCAAGTTCTTCAGTATCTCTGTCCCAGTTGCTGTGGCGTTGATGAGACAAACATGAGCATTCTCCAGTGACTCCTGACCATGGTCACCCCACAGTCTGAAACACAACATGGACATGTGTTGCCATCTAGTGATACGATTCATACTCAACCGCTGTGAAATCACAGCGAGACACTTTGAAAGAATGACTTAGCCGGTGCTGTGACAGCTTCAGCAGCACTGACAAACCATGTAGTGTTACTCTTGTTTTACCCACAAACACAATGAATATAAATTACGTTAGACATTAGACAAGCTGGTAATTCTGATAGGTAAGCACACACCAGAAAGAAATACAAAGCAACCCATCACATTAACCTTAAAGCTCTTCTACTTGTTAGCTCGCCGAAGCTGTTTTCACTGAAACGAACATAGCAAGCTAACGCTAGCTAACGTTAGCACTCCTGCCTCATTAATGTTTCCGGTGTGACCTCTCAGAGGAAACACGCAGGATATTTATCAAATAAACTGTATGTTCTCTGTGAGACATATGATATAGTTTGAATGTACCTGAGCTGTCTGTCGTATTTCTGTTCTTTGGAGGCTTTGGTGGCTGCCATGGTTTCTTTCCAATGAGTGACATCTACGGACTCATCTTAACTTCCGCAATGACAGATTCGTCACAAATATGCCCGCGTGAACATTCAGATGCGCACTTTCGACACAAAAACTCATCGTGCTGCCCACTTATGAAGCCTTTTGCTGGAATAATGTTATTATTAAATTGTAACTTCAATATTGTGACTGTAATAGGAAAGATACGTTTTTTCTCTGTGCTCTGAATAAATACAGTAAAAGGTGTTAGAGGCGGTGCGTTCACTGACTCCTTGAGGAGCAGGGGCAACAACAATGAAGGGACATCTAACCAAGGATTAAGGTGAAACTGGGAACTTTATGGATTCTTGTGGCAACCAGAGCAGAAATTATGATACATATTCTTCTAAAGTTACATTAATATCCAGAATTTGAGGCATCCATGGCTCATATAGTAGGTGTAATGATAATTTCACCATTAGCACCACATGTGGGGTACATGGTTAGGCTGCAAATACTTTCATGGGCTAATTGATTAAACTGAAGATAATTTTCTCAATCAATCAGTTAAAAATGTCAGTGAACAGTGAAACACTTCCTTTAGCCCAAGGTGGTGTCATCAATGTTTTTTTTTTTTTTTTTTTAAATTTAATTCAATTTAATCTAATTTAATTATTTGTATTGCATTTTATCTAATTTGTTGTTTATTTATTATTTTTGAATTTACTCCAGCAAATTCCTTGTGAGTGAAAACCTACTTGGTATTAAAACTTCTGATTCTGGTTCTGATTTTATCTCATGGATACTTTTAGGGTGATTACTTTCTCACATTCAAAAAGCTGGAATCACAGAATGTTTAACATTTTTGCAAGAAAAATGATTCAAACATTTAGTCATTATTGAAACTATTCGAGGGCGGCACGGTGGTGTGGTGGTTAGCACTCTCGCCTCACAGCAAGAGACTCCGGCTTCCTCCCACAGTCCAAAGACATGCAGATTGGGGACTAGGTTAATTGATAACTCTAAATTGTCCATAGGTGTGAATGGTTGTCTGTCTCTATGTGTCAGCCCTGCAATAGTCTTGCGACCTGTCCAGGGTGTACCCTGCCTCTCGCCCGATGTCAGCTGGGATAGGCTCCAGCCCCCCCGCGACCCTCAAGAGGATGAAGCGGTTAGAAGATGAATGAATGAATGAAACTATTCGTGATTGTTGTCTCAATTGACTGATCAATATAAATCAGATCAACTTTACAGTGCATTTCTTACACAGGGGAAACAGTGCTTTAAATGAGACACTGGCAATAAAACAACAAATACAATAAAAAAGTAAATTATCAAAAAGTGTAAAGTGTGGGATAAAAGACATAAACAGCCCAGAAACAACGATGAACAAATACATTTTCAAAATTGATTTAAAGTTGTAGGCTATTAAAGCAGATCATGTTCAAAGGGGTGTCGCACCAAATTCTGGGCCCTATGCATAGGCATTCTTTTGATTCATGACTCTCTCATGCATCGTCTAAGCTTTTATTTTTTTACAAAGTCAGGTGGCTTTCTTTCCCTTTCCTCTCTTGCTTTCTTTCTTTTCTTTTCCATTTCCCTTTCTTATGTAACAACACGACAGTGCACACCAGCAGCACTGGCAGTCACTCACTTGGCTCTATCTGCATTTACAGAGGAATCCTCATGCAGGGGCGGACTCAATTATTTTGCACCTTTAACAGGTGAGAGAGGCGTGCAGATTTATTCAGCCAATTTTAATTTAGTTATGGCTTTAATTACTTTGAAATTTTTAAAAAAGCAAACAAAAGCAAACTTTTCATTCCAGGCTTTTTGAGGGCCCCCTCCCATTGGGGCCCACAGAGTCATCAGTCCCACTTTTTCCTCCACTACAAAACCCCTGCATGTTCGTTTATGGGATAAATTACACATGAATTTTAATGACACTCTTTATCATAAGAGTATTACATACGCCTATCAGCCATTATTTTATCATAGAAATATACCTCTGGTAATAATTTCGGTAATAAAACCTACTGTAATCATATCTTACTGAAATCATTAAATCTAAAAACAAATGACGTAATGCAGTGACCCTAGACAAGATAAGCTCCAAAACCTCAAGACAGGTGGATTCTGTGCGTGTGTGAGTGCGCGCGCGCGCGCTTGTGGGTGTGCAGGGGCGTGTCAAGACAGGGATAATTGCCCTTCCCCTCCAGCCACCAGATAAACACAGACTGATATCCGTGGCCGTCCTCCACGTGCGCAGCAGAGTGCGGGAGTCCAACGCCGACAGCTTGGTCAGACTTGGATCCACTTACAGGGACAATGCCAGGGAGTCAGTGGGGATATGGAAAACAGGACGGTAAGATCTCACAGGATCCAGGATCCAGACACAACCTCACTGCTCTTCCATTCATAGTGGAGGGAATTAACCTCATATCATCAATAGTTAGGCTATGTGTTGTTTTGTAAAGCTGTGAGGCATTGCGTGCGTTTTTCAAGAGGAGTCGAGGGCAGAGGAGCAAGGCTGTTAATGCAGCTTAGCCATATGCTTAAGGGGATGTCTGCTGTCACCTTTACCTGACTTTCCACCTGATTTGGCCCAGTGGTGTTGAGGAAGAAACACTGCATTGCAACAGTGTCATGCATGGCCGGAAGCCTAATTGTTTTTAACACAAGTTGTTGTGTTAAAAACAATTGAAAAAAGTATTTACTGTGCTGCTTAGTTTGTAAATGACTCTTGACCCTTGAGTGACTTTCACTTTTGAATCTTGGGGTCTTAATTTTGTTCTGATGGTCCCACCTGTAAATTGTTTTGGAAATAGACCTTGATTACTTAGTGATTAATAGTTAAAACTAAGTTTGCTGTGTTAAATAAGAAAGCTTTATTCTCTTACTGTGCCCTATAAAGAAATGAATAGTGAATGAAATGAAATCTGTTTTCTTTTAGTACATTTGATCACAACCAAGTGCAGTACTGGTTGTATTAAATGTTCTGATTCTTGCTCATGGTCTTCTTATATGCTCAGGTCCCTCTGTGTGGCACAAAAGCTTCCCCGTTGCCGAGGGGAGCCGGCAGTCTCCCATTGACATCGTCCCCCAACAGGCTTCACATGATCCCAGCCTGGGTCCGATTGTCCTGAACTATGATCGATGTACCTCCATCAGCATCGCCAACAATGGACACTCTGTTGTTGTGGAGTTTGAGGACTCAGATGACCGTTCAGGTGAGAGAAAGAGGTCTTCTGAAAGCAGAAATTACACCGACAAACGACCAGCAAACCAGTTCAAATATGTTCTGCTTTTAAGTCTGCACAATCCACAGAGGATAAGATCTGCTGAAAGACTATGTGCATTGATATGACATGACCCCATGGGTGTCTTAAGAGATTACTGACAGATAATTTGAGATCTGATGTCAGCCACATGCAGTGGAAATCTGCACTCAAAGTTAACTTTCAATAAACACACACTTGAAAGCTGGGATTACCTTGATTTTTTGAAAAGTGCAAACCATGTGAACATCTGACCTTAATCAGAGGTTGCACATAAGCCTCTGTTTATGCTGCAGGAAAGTAAAGGCAGCAGTTAACTGTATGAGTATCTGTCTGCCGGACAAGAGAAATAATAACCTCAGGTGATCTCAGTAGTTATTATGACCCTATTTGCTTTTATCGCAGGGTGGATCCATGTTAACCACCCTGTCATTAACATGAATGATAAGCTCAGAAATGTGGGGCTGTTTGGCTCAGACAGTTTCCACAGAGCAAGCAAGTAGCTATCACCTGCAGTGATTTATGAAAGAGGAGACCTGCAGGAAAATTAACGCACTTCCTCAGACAGATGCACAATATTAATATTAAGTAATTAAAACTTTTAATGATATATCGCTTTACAGTCTCAAAGATCCGGCTCTGAATGTTAGAATAACAGTCATGTCGGAAGTTAATTATAATTGATGCCTTTTTTTCTGCAGGAAGTCATTAATGTTGGCATAACCAAGGTCGGAATTTACAGCATTATTATCTTTAACCACCTGACTCAGCACATCAGCTATCATACTGTAGATAAAGCAGTTTTCATACCTGCTACTATCACATATTTGTACTTAACAGATTTCCTTTTAACAGATCACATTGTTCCTGTGGACATAGGAGGAGATTTCGTGGGTGGATGCAGGGGACACCTCCCCCCTCAATATGTATCCTCCCAGTAAAAACATGAAGCAGAGGACTTTTACTTTCACAATTAAAGACATATACCTCAAAAATGGCAGAAAATGCACAAATTAGTGTTTAAAAATCACTGTAAAGCAAGAAATTAAGTGTTTGATACTTTGCTTTTGGTTGAGGCCCAAACACCCGTTTCAAATGTGTCCCCCCAGTGTGTGGATATCCCACATCTATACTGTAAGATGGACCAGATAAATGTTTTGCTCTCTGTGCCATTCATGCCTCGCTAAGCTGACCTGGACTGGTGTGTCAGAAGGATGTCAGCAGCATCACAATGAATAACAGTCAGATTAAACTGGTGCTCATATCCAGCAGTGTCAGCCAGTCACAGGCCCTGAAAACAGTCTGTACTATTCTGATAACGGGCTGAACATTATTATGATATATATTAAAGTATGTGTCCACCCTTGTTGGACAGTGGACCTGAATGTAAAGCTAAACCAAGGTAAAAGTAGCTTTAACGTTGCTTTATTTAGCACAGGATTGGTTATTTGTGTCTCAACCTAAAGCTTGTGTCACAAAGCTCTGATGATAGATTTGTTGGTAGAGCAGACGGTTGGTCTGTCTGTTGGAGCTCATGTCTCAGCTTTGAGTTAGAAGTTGAGTATAAACGAGCAGTGTGTAGGATTTGGAGGCATCTAGGGATGAGGATTGCAGATTGCAACCAGCTGAAACTTCCCCCATGTGCCAATCATAAACTCCCAATCAGGATTCCTTCAGTGTTTTTACCAGGAGTCGAATTATCAGCAGAGCCTCTTCCTCTTCAAAACAAACGGACCGGGTGATTTAAACCGGTGAAAACACTGAATGAAGCAGTTTAACATTAAAAGAAATCAGTTTTTTCCAATGCTAAATACAGTAGCTGATGCAAAATCACGAATGACCCTATCTAGAGCCAGTGTTTGGTTTGTCCATTCTGGGCTACTGTAGAAACATGGCAGTGCAACATGGCAGACTCCTTGGATAAGGACTCTCTCCCTATTTAGACATGCTCATTCTAAGGTAGCAAAAACAGCTTCATTCATTCATTTTCTGTAATCGCTTATCCTGTTAGGGGTCGCAGGGGGGCTGGAGCCTATCCCAGCTGACAGTGGGTGAGAGGCGGGGTACACCCTGGACAGGTCACCAGACTATCACAGGGCTGACACATAGAGACAGACAACCATTCACACTCACATTCAAACCTACAGCCAATGTAGAGTCACCAGTTAACCTGCATGTCTTTGGATTGTGGGAGGAAGCTGGAGTACCTGGAGAAAACCCACGCTGACACGGGGTGAACATGCAAACTCCGCACAGAAGGGCTCCCCCACCCCAGGGTTCGAACCAGGAACCCTCTTGCTGTGAAGTAACGATGCTAACAATGCTAGCCACCTAAGGAAAACACAATAAAATTTATTTTCAGGTGATCACACCCTAAAGAAAATATACTTACTATATTTAATTTCTGCCAGTATATCCCTCTAAATCCCACACACTGGACCTTTAAGTATGCTGGGTGTTACCAGGTTGACTCATCCTGCAGTGGTACCCAAGCTGTTTGAGTGATGCTGCACACACGATGCTCTGTGCAGCGTTCTGCTCGAAAGCAGTTTGTCTAGTTTGTCTGACGCCCACAGAGAGTAGGTGTGTGGGTGTGTGTGTGACTGCCAAACCTTTTTTATTTATTCACTTATATATATATATATATTTTTTTTTTCTTCACATCTCCTCATCTTCCACAGTGATCCAGGGAGGCCCTCTTGACAACCCTTACAGGCTGAAACAGTTCCACTTCCACTGGGGCGGAAAAGGCTGCGATGGCTCTGAGCACACTGTTGCAGGAAGGAGCTACGATTCTGAGGTCAGTGTCTGAATACTTCACTGTGTCAGTGTCTAATTACAGAAACACATTTTTGGCTAAGAAAAAAATTACCAGTATTTCCATCTGTGTATGAATGTCTTATGTGACTTGATTTTATTTATTTAACTTTAAAAGCCAGCTCTTTTTCTTTCTGTCGTTCTCTCCTCCTGTTTCTCCCCTCTAGCTTCATTTAGTACACTGGAATGCTGTCAAGTACAAGACGTTTGGGGAGGCGGCAGAAGCTCCGGATGGCCTCGCTGTCCTCGGCATCTTTTTAGAAGTAAGATGTCTCTCTTAAGTGCAATCCCATTTTCTATCCCCGTGCCCCCTCTCTTCTCCATTTTGTATTAGTGTCACAGATTCACAGTTGTTTTTTACTTCACGCTGACAGAAAGAAAGATGTGGGTGGTGATTTTTAAAAGGTTATAGAAGTTGTAAGAGAAGCTAGTGGGAAAAATTCTCAGTCATAAAGCTGCGTACATGATATCTGTTGTGTATATTTGAAAAGCTAGTGCTGTTGACAGTGACTAGAAACATATTTTCTTTATGATATACACTCTGATATTTACAGTAATCTCTCCCTTGACCAGTGTTGTGTTTCTGAAATGTGCCAGCTTCAACAAAAAACAAACATTTCTGATCTTTTGTAGATTATATATGAAAATATAGATTCCCTTCAGGTCTCAAATCAAGTCCAAAAGCAATCTTTGTCTGTTATGCAAGACAGGTGACGACCACAGATGGCTCCACACGATAACAGACGCTCTTTACATGGTGAAGTATAAGGTGAATACTATGACTGTCTCTGGGTTTTATCGCCTGTAATATTCATGTGGTTTATGACCTGCTCTTAGCGTTATTGCAGTAATATAAAAGCTGCTGTCTTTCTGTTTTCCTTACAGGGCAGTGTCACAGATTTCAAAGGTTTCAACCCTAAGTGCCTCCTGCCCAGTAGCCTCCACTACTGGACCTACCTGGGATCACTGACCACACCCCCCCTGCATGAGAGCGTCATCTGGATTGTTGTGCAGGAGCCAATCATGCTGTCTGAAAAACAGGTGTGTGTGTGTGTGTGTGTGTGTGTGTTGCACTGTTCCTTTGACCACAATACGTGCCAGATTTCCAACACTTAGAACACTGTGGTCGTTATTTATTATTCCAGGTCATGTGGCACGGCCATTCATACACAGCATTAACCCCGATCTAGCTGTTTTAGCTGCGGGCCAGAAGTGGGCAACTCCTCTGTCATAGGATCTATGTTTTCCTTGACGACTACTAGAACTACATCACTGCTTAAAATAAGAAGTATACGAGGCAAACATCTCATATTCATAACGAAAGAAAAAAGGTGCATCAGAGATATTCATATTTGATTAAGACAAATGGACAAAACAGACATATTTTATCGATTCCCAACTCCACATATATGTTCAACTCTCAAGTATTACTGATTGCTTTCATATATTTGTTGTTGTCGATGATATTTTCTCAAATATTGAGCATAGCTCAGCTCACGTCCCAGCTACATCAGCTGATCTCAAACAGCCCAATCAACTGATGGAGCAGCTGACTGATGGAAGGAAGTCAACTGATAGATCACATGATTCCTTTCTATGCAACCAATTGGCAAGTCTCAATCAGGGCACCCTATTTAAACTGCTCTGGCCTGCCTACTGTTTCTGCTTCCTCTGCAAGCCGCTTTGCAACCCAGCACCTCCTTTTCATGCTGTGTCTGACTTATCAATGTCATTTCTGTTTGTCACTGATGCTGCTCTGGTCTGTTTGTAGGGGGTCTTTGCTGCTGCTCTCCCTGCCTTAGGTTTTCCATGTAGATGCATGGAAGGGCAGGGATGTTTGCTCTCTCTGCCTCAGGCTTTCCTTGTTTGCGCGTGGAAGGGCAGAGAGGTGTGCTCTCTCCACCTTATGTTTTCCACATAGGCGCGTGGAAGAGGCTTTCTGCGCAGGCGTAGGAAAGTTATAGGGGCCCCAGAACAGAGCCATACCGCTAAATGTAATACTGCAAATGGACATAATTTGGTCCTCACTGAAGTTCAGTTTTTAAATATAAAAGAGAACCTGAATTTACTTTTTGATCAAAAAATATACTATGTAGGATTTTCCTAAAAACAGTCTATTGACTCTATACAGAGGTAATCCCTCTCAATCATCACTTATGACTCACTAGTAGTGTGTGGCGGTGTATTTTCCTGCAGAGACTCTGCCCTCTGCCTGTATTTTCTTTTTTTCTGCTTATTTTCTGTGCTTGGGACGTTTATGTGTGTGTAACACCACACCACTCAGGTGAGGTTGAGGCTTTATAAAAAGTTAGCGACCATGTGCCAGATCATAAGCAAATAATAAATAAAGTGAGGCGAAACACCCAACAAAAGTGAATCTGAGGTTGGCTTTTACTTTTACTCTTTCTGTCAAGCGTGTTTACAAACAGCAGCTGACAATCCTGCACAGTATTACTTTAAATAAACACAGTTGTACCAGGGGAAGGACGTTGTATGTTTTAGCTGTAAGTCAGTGGAGCTTAAGGCACTGATGCTACAGTTGATCGGTCAGTTGTGACGTCCATGTTTCCCTGCCTGCATAATGTTAAGCTACATGCTCCACTAGGCTCCAAGGATCCTCCGCCTCCTTTGTTGTCAAATCAAAGTTCAGCATCAGTGGATCAGTATGTCACGTTTGAGTCATGGTGGGCTTTACCTCTGTGCTGTAGCATGTTCAGAAATTTACTGTTTGGCCCCAGTATAATGCTATTTTTATCAAGAGGCAAGCACAAGAGCGAGCATCATTCATGGGGGATGCCTTGTGCAGGGTTGACTTGTTTTTATCCTCCCATCCTTGGACTGAATTTAATCAGAAAGTTTAGGCCTGGTAACCCCAGGTTGCTGACAAGTTAAGCTGAAAAACTGGATGTCTTGCAGCACATGCCTTCCAGGTCCCCCTGTGAGCTGGCCCTATGGCGACTGCTGCCAGCCTCTGGATTATACCCTCCCACTTTGTTGATCTTTGCTAGTCTAGTTCCCCATTTTTAACTCCAGCGATCTACATGAGGAATCAGGGGTTTTAATGACAGCGGCACCTTGGGGTGTAGCCACGAGCGATCCGTCTGTGAACCAATGTGTGTTAGCATAGCTGGGGGTGAGGCGTAAGCTGGGCAACTGGCCCCACAACCTATGCCTCCAGGCCTCAAGCCTTTGATCCCCTCTAGCTGATTATCGTGATGGATGGACAACTGGATGTGTGCAGGGCTTTAATTGAGAAATGCTTGCATGGGGACCCAGCAGGGAAAAGCCCTTATATAACAAGGTATTATTTTGTTTTTCATTTCCCCTCATATTGGTCGACATGGAGCTTAAAGGGAAAAACAAAAAAGAAGGTGGGACGTGTGAGGAAGTTTTATAAAGGAGCATGAGTTAGATAATTAGTCTGGTAACATTCAAAATTTTATGTGAAAAAGTTTCATTATGATACAATATTGTATAGATTGTTTGGACAATGTCACAATGTTTGTTGATATCACAAAGTCTGACATGATATGATTTTGATTTGATTAAATTCAGGGGACAATATGAGACAATATCAGTGTACGTACTCATTGTCTTTTTCTTGGCTATGTGCCATTATCTACCTGGCGCTAGGCTGCTAGCACTGTTTGAATATTTAGGAAGGAGCTGTGCTTGGACGGAAATGGTGACATAAGATAAGACAGGATAAGATAAGATAAGATAATCCCTTATTCGTCCCACAGCAGGAAAATCTGCAACATTACAGCAGTTGAGGGATAGTGCAAACAGGAAGCATCAGTAGAAAAAAATAAAATACAAAGCCATATATAAATACATACACATAAAGTAAGTAAACTGTACAGAAACAAAGAGCAGTGTAATCAGCAAACAGTATAAAAACACAAAGCCATATAATTAGGAAGCATCAAAAGGAAGCAGAATATAATAGACAGACTAAATGGCTGATTTTACTGACCACTATTATTGACAGATGGAAGTATAGATATTGCACAACAATACTGATATTGCACCTGAGTGATTAATTGTAAGCAGTAAAAAATAAAAACAAGTAATAATAAATAGACAGGCTGAGTGGCAGAATTAACATTTACATTTACATTGCATGACATCGATTGTGACATGGGAATTTCAAAATAAAGGCGCATCTTAAAGATGACCATTTATAGATGTTTTCATTTTGCATATATGATATTAAATCTTGGTATTTGATTCAATATATCAATCCAGATCGATGTATTTTGACACCTCTTCTATGTCTGCGTAGCCAAACCTAGAAATAGAGTATCCATCTGTACCATAGACCTTCAATGACATTCATTTTCCGTAAACGCGTATCCTGTTAGGGGTCACGGGGGGGCTGGAGCCTATCCCAGCTGACACTGGGCAAGAGGCAGGGTACACCCTGGACAGGTCATCAGACTATCACAGGGCTGACACATACTGTAGAGACAGACAACCATTCATGTTAACATTCACCTACCACCAATTTGGAGTCACCAGTTAACCTACCCTGCATATCTTTAGACTGAAGTTAGAGAACCTGGAGAAAACCCACGCTGACACAAGAAGAACATGCAAACTCAGCACAGAAGGGCTCCCCTACCCTGGCAACCCTCGTTCTGTGAGGCAACAATGCTTACCACTGCACCACTGTGACACTCTGTCCAAAAATAAAATAGTAGTATTCAGAGAGGGACAAATACATTGTTGGGTTTGGTCTTCTAATGGGATTTGTTGACCATAGCATCCAAAAAAAATCACCACACTTATCCTTTTAACATGCTCACAGTGTGTAGTGTGCAGCTAAAGTTGTGCACAGAGCTTTTTTTAACAAACAAATTCATTTTCTTTGCAAACATATTAAGAGTAAACTCTGTCCATCTGTCTCTCCCGATGCAGCTGGGCAAATTTAGAACGCTTCTGTTCACTGGAGAGGAAGAGGATCAGAGGACACGCATGGAAAACAACTTCAGGCCTCCCCAGCCTCTCAAAGGAAGGAAAGTGCGCTCCTCCAATTAATGTGACCCCAAGAGATCTGCGGGCATAGACAACAAAGGCTCTTTTAGACAAAGCTGAATGCATTACTTTGATTGTACTGTTTTACCTCATGGTAGCTTGTCCTGAGGATTGCTGATTTACTTTGTACAGAAAGGTTCTCATCACTGCCGGCACCTTAAGATGCATGCGTCCCTCTACTGGTCAGAAGCTCCAGGGGCAGACGGAAGAATCAGTTATTGAATGATTAAGGGAAAAATAAAAGGGATGTAGAAAAGAAATACAATATTAACACTGCAGATTTGACTACTGTGTGCTATTTGTTGATATGAGCTATATGTTGATGAAGATTCAAAGGGTGGATGTGTACATGTATCTTTATAGCTGTTCAAGGAAAACAAGTGCTGCTGTGGCAAGCTCTTGTAAGGTGCTATAGAATTTAATATTATATGTGTATGTATCTAGTATGTCTGTTTACCCATGCAGTCTGTTGCTGTTTGCAGACTGACATCACACCGCTCTGCCATCTGCAGATCCATGACTTCGGCCTCCCTACTGATCCCGATTGATCCCATGTTGATCCGGCCTGTTGCTGGTGGATTCCCAGTCCTTGTGGCCATAGATCCTTTCCAGTCCCAACAATCCCAACTGGAGGTCGGATTGGATTAGAGCTGCCTTTGCTTAAACTGCTCTGTTTGGCCATGACATAGGACATGAATGTCTCAGGTCCTTGAGAGCTCAAGAGACGGACTAATATCACCACAAGCAGCTGTTATTTTAAGCAAAAACCTCTTTAAACTAAAGCAGCCCAAACAACAAGCCAATGAATTCAATATTTCAATTAAACTTCAAATCTCTGTCTTTAAACTGCATCCTGCCTCAAGAGTTGTGTTTCCTGGTTCGGTGTTTTTACTATGCAGTAAGTGATGCACACGGTCATTACCAGCTCACCTCTGAAGCTCCACTTGTCAGAGAAGCACATGCACAGTCCAGTATGTACATGCCTGACTGAGTATCTCACTTGAGAGAGTTATTGCAGCTTTGTGTAATGTATGTAGATGGACTTGGATTTTACTACTAGAGACAGATACTGTACAATAAAACGCACACATGGAGAATGGCACCTCTGATTGTTTGTTGATGTGAAAGAACATTCAAATTGTAATTTATGGGTGGTCTGGATATTTTTGTAATGCATTCAAAATCTTCCCATGTTTGCTGAATGAAATAAAATTCAATGTAACTTTGTTTTAAGATGTCTTTTTCTCCCATTTGAAGCCAGACCGACCTTTACAAATACACAGATGCTCTCAACCAAACACTGCACATTTCTGATCTTGTTTATTTCATAGTGTTTCAAAACCAGACAAACGGCAAACGGCAGGTTGCTGACAGACGAGCACAAGCAGACTTGTACACTCATGCGACACAGACGACTGTTTCTCCTCTTGCTAAAAAACATTGTTCACCTTCTTTGTTCCAGCTGCTATAGCTGAACCTTGTACCCAGTACCTACAATATGTTTTTGGACAAAGGAGCCATTCAAGCAAATGTTTAAACTCACTCTCACTGATCAGAAGTAGCAATACTGGGCTCGAGGTAATTAGTAGCCAGGTTTTGGCCTGCAGCGGTGAGGGACAGAAAGAAGGAACGTAGACTGTGATCACGGTCAATTATTTACCAACTGTGTTCACTGAGACTGTTTTATTTGCCCCTTAAATTCAGCATATTAGAGTGTTTGTAGTTAATATCATCAAAAGACTACCCATAGGATGTGACTGTAATGTGGAGTGAGGTTGTTACACCTGGTTGCTTCTATAAATGTGTCTCGGTTTTTAGAATGGTGCAAAGAAAAAACAGTTTCCTTTTCACATTTGGATATAAAAAGGAATTTCTAGGAAACAAATGCCATTTTTTGCCATTCAGTAATGTTCAGTTTCAACAGTAAGGAGTATATAAAAAGTATAATTTGAACTTCTTTCTAAAAACCTTATTTCATTGAAATCTGTGGCTTCAACATGTAGCTACAACATTTGTCCAGCAGATGGCAGGATGGAGGTATATTTGCAGACCAAAAACCTGGATTTTGTATTTTTATATTTGTGGGATTTGGATTAGGTTTACCAAGATAATGACTGTGACAAAAAATAAATAAATAACTGCTTTGGAGATTAGCATTTAATTTGATTTAACAGATTTAAGATCAGTAAAATGCTTCAGAGGCAGGATTGTACACGATATAGAGAATAAGAATAAGGATAGCATCACTAAATCATATTAAGTTTTTAAAGGATGGGGCCAGATGAAACACAAGGAAATCACAGAATACAGATTTGCATGTACATTAAACAAAGTAAGACACAGTTTATTTAAAATTAAGTCTTCTTTTTACTTTATACTGGACTTGTGAGCTTTATTTTTCTCCACAGACACATTTTAATTCAATTTTCAGGTTGTTTACGCAATGAATTTAGCTTGTCCCAATCTTCCAGTAGGTGGCAGCATCCACTGTCTGTTGTATCACATGTACTCCAGACACAAGGTTTGAATTTTAAAAAAGTAAAAATAACCCACAGACAACTGTACAGCAGCTCGGATACATGGAAATGGCTTCATTTGGCAATCACATGCTGTGTTTCATAGAAAATGGCTGACCACAGCAGAAACACACACCCTACATCCAAAGAGACAGCATATTCTCTGCTATCAGTAACACTTGACTTTGCCTTTGTCCGTCCTCCATGCCACTATAAGCATTGTTTGAATCGAGAGGTCACATTACCCCATCTGGTTTCATTTCCATCTAATTGCTGACGGCTGTGGAAAAATTCAGCTTCAGGTTAATGAATCGGGAATGAAAGTGGGTGTGTGTGAAGTATATTTAACACATATACTCAAATAATCTTTCCAAAATAGCATCAGGGAGCTTTATTGAGACCGAGAATACCTGAGCAGGCACATCATCCTCAGCCACAATCGATGTGCCATGTAATATGATATTACAGTCAGGCCTCAGAAATAGAGTCAGTCACACGTATTTTTAGCATCAGGATATCTATACTTGCTTGTTGTAGTGATTTTTCCCAGACACAGCAACATCTGAGCAACTTGTGAAATATAAATCTGCGGGACAAACGAGCAGCAGGAAAAGCTGCTGGACAGGCAGAAGAATTTAGTTTCCCATAAGACGTCTGAATGAGCTACATATTTGTTTAAATGATGAGAAATGTATGAATTATTGAATGGAGGCTGCAGATGCCCTTTACTTTCCCTTTTTAGGTAGCCAATTATTGTTTAATCTAGGCCAAACATGTATATCTGCCCATGTCTACAACCCAAAGGTTTCACAAAATTAAAATCAAACTACTAGTATACTGTATACATAGGCCAGTATCTCAAGCACTCCATTAATTTAACATGTCAAAGTCAATTTAGTTATGAAGAGCAGGCTAACATTCATCCTGTGGGAGTGAATAAAAATGTGTCATTAGTAGAAGTTATGAATAATTATCAAAATGTACTCAGACTATCAAAAGTAGAAGTACCTGTGCTGAAAAATGGTTCATGTCAGTGTCATATCATCATCTACACATTATTGGATTATTATTAGTGATGCATTAATGTGTAACCAGAATTCTATGGTGCAGTTGGTTGCAGGAGGAGCTCATTTTAATTTATATACTGGTGAGAAGCTGGAACTTTAGCAATGCATAGTATTCCATGAACTTATCACAGGTATTCTTTGTTGAAAAACGTGATCTACAAAGTAACTAGCAACTGTAATTGTGAAATAAATGTAAATACTTTTCATTTGTACATTATCAGCAGGTATGCAGAAACTTTACGTTTATCAACAATGCTGTGGTGAAGTTGCTGTAAGGTTTAGGCACCAAAAAATTACCTAGTTATGGTTCGGAAAAGATCACGTTGTGGCTTAAAACACCCAGGTTTGGTCGCTCAAGTATCATGTGTGAACGCTGCGATTTTCTGCTCTAAAACACCAGGGTTTGGTACCACAAACACCAGTGGAAATGCTGCAAAGGGTCACCAAAAGTTGGTTTCAAACAGTGATCTGCAGTGGTCTCTATCTTGGTCTCCTGTCACGCCATCCACCCTCCCCTTCACCTCCCACTGACAAAAGGCAGCCTATATATTATGTCACTTCAGAAATGTTGATATGATACATATGAAACATACATATGTATAGTACTTGTGGTTTGCAGAAATGTACAATTCAAGCATTTTCTTATGACGACTAAACTGATCAAATTTCCCTCTGAGATTTGGTGGATTACAGGTTCAGCGTAAAGTTGCATCAAATTAAAATAATTACATAAAGTGCAAATTCCTCAAAATTGGATTCAAGAACAGCAGCCTATTTGAATAATGTACTTAGTCACATTCCACCACTGCTGATGAATCTGAAAGATGTGAGCATTTACAGGACAGCGAGGGATTAACATAAAATGCTGCTGATAATGGGAAGGAGTTTGACCCATGATGAGGACAAGAGTCAAAATATCCATCCATCTATGACCTCTGCTGCTTTGATTTTCACCCCTAACCATATGAAGGTGCATTACTACATTGCTATAAAGTCTCTTTAATTATCTGATTTCATACAAAATACAATAGACTTTTTTGACAGTCATGAAGCTGCAAAGGCTTCAACAACATGTTCCACTAAAACCACCACTAATCTAATCTAAACTGCTGTATCTAACCTTCTAATCTCAGTTTTTATGACACCACAGTCCTCACACACTGAGCTGCTTCTTCTGTTTCAGCAGTAAAAGCTCGAAAACAGAACACCCCACTCCCAAATCCTTTTAAGTTTCCCAATATTGTCAGGACAGCGTCTCTATCTGGCAATCAGGCGACACCGCCAACGGTCCAGTTGCCATGGATACAAACAGCACATGTAGCACAACACAATTGCTGGCCGGCTCATATCTCCCCCTACTTGTCTATGAGCCCGTGATCCGTCACCGTCACCCTGTCAGAAAATAAAACCATACTACAAAAATATCCAACGCATCTTCCCCTAAACACCCCTGCAGCGACACGTGTGTGTTTCTGATTCATTAGGGAGCTTTATTTAGCAACGTGTTTTCTATTCTTCAGTGGACAGGCCTGTGATCTCCGACCTATTCCATCCAAACCACACACACACACACACACACACAGCACCTGTCTCCTCTGGATGCTGATGTTTGGCCTTCACCCAGGTTCAGGGTCAGGGTTTTAGGGTTGAACTGTAACAGTTCACCAAACAATATACACCTTTTATGGGTTGTGTATATACACCAAATAACATTAAGGTTGTCAGGCAGTGGCCTTGGTTCACAGAGTGGATTATAAATCACAGAAGAGAAGAGAAGAAGAGATGAGGTTCCCTCTCTTGGGCGCTCTGTTGGTGGTCTCTTATGATAATTAAAGAAAACAGAGCTTCACTGTCATGGGAGAGAGGTCATGATCTGTAATTCTATACTTGGCTGTCAGCCCGTGCACCATAAAGACTTTGATGTATGGACTATTTTTTAGAAAATATCTGCTGGCTTCCTCTGGCCATATGATTTTGGCCTCTCTTGGTAGACCTACGGTAAAAGTTTATTGAGACTTGTCTCCATCTATGACAGTCACGCCCCGACCCCTGACATCTGATCTCAACAGTGTGGCATTACCCAGCATTGAGCCATGTCATATTTTAGTGGGCAACTGACACCTACATGATCTTCAGGGAACTCATCTGACTTTCCCCAGTGACCCTTGAGTCAAGCCAAGATCTCAGTGTTTGCACAGAGCGTCTATAGCAACACACACGGTCAGCGCTGCATCACGACTCAGTCAACCCCTATTTATTTCATACACGACATCTGTTTAAAATCAGTGTCACAAACATTTGGCTTACTGGGGAGATATGTAAAACTAACTTCGGTGGAGTTAAGAATCGGGGATTTATATTCAGAGCATAGTTGATGAGAGCTGATATAAACCAGTGGTCACAGATATTATAATAAACATTAGCTGAAGCTGGCTGGACAGCTTTTTGCTTTATTGGTGTCATTTCCTCCGCAGGAATCACTAAAGGCCAAACCATTTCTCAGTATTAAGCACTGACATGATGCATTTCAGAGGCTTCTTTTTGGCAGCGGTGCAGATTTTTTTTATGGTGTACCATCAAGCTGACACACTACATAAATTTCAGTGTAATGCCACCCTGTACCATTGTGACTGTTGATCATTAG